TGCAAAACCACATATTAAAAAAAAATACCGAAATACTGCTTGACAAAAAAACTCAATTCCACAATTATATTATTATTTAATACTGTAAACCCCCATGCCCCCCTCTAGAAAAAACAGACAAATAAAACAAAACAAAATAGTCATTTCCTGTCTGTCTATTTTGGTCTAAAAATCACCTAAGTCTAAAAATCACCTAAGTAGACCTTTTTGTACCATTCTTGTCTAACTGTGGCATTTTGTCCTTTGTTTTTTCAGTTCTTAATAGTTCAAACATGGTTTGAGTTGTAAAGTAGTCGTGAAAAAAGAGGACACAGACAGCAAACCTCTTATACCTCTGGTTAGTCTTATACTGATATATTTGAAAAGAATAATTTCTTTCTTTCTTTAACATGCATTATTCTGACATAAAGTAAAAACCCAGGTCCCAGTTGTTCAAAGGTGGATAGCACTATATGCTGGATAATCAGTATCCAGTGGATAATGCAATTGGTTTCCCTAATACTAATCTGCTAAAATAGTGTTTTATCTGTTGGATAGTGCCATCCAGCTTTTAAACAAACGGATCCAGAGCATTTAGAAGAAAAACCCAACAACATTTTATCCCTAACTCTGCTACAGGTATGCAATGGGTGTATACAATAAACAGAGTGTGAAGGAAACCAGGGGAGACTTGGCCAACTTGTTTTGCAACCTTTAGGTCGACTTTATAATTTATTATGGGAAACCACATGATAACCCTTGTAGGAATTCAGTATTCTTTAAGTATACTTTTAAACTCTTAAAAAGTGCTCTTCATTTTATACTTTATGTATACTTAACAAAAGTATACTTTAAGTAAGGGTTATCGGCCTGAAGCAAGGGGTTATGTGATTCCCCTCGTGCTCCCTCGGGCAACGCGCGAGGGGAATAAATCACATAACCATGAGCTGAAGGCCGATAAACGGCTTATTTTTACATTGGCGAGGGTTCCTCAAGGGATGCAAAAATACATTGACAAAAAATACCTCTATTGTTCATCTTTCTTTTGTTTTTTAACACTCCATGCTGGCACCTGGTGGCATTCACAAGTTCCTCGGCTTTTATGTTAGTTTTTCAAAGTCGCATTTCAAATTAGTTGTTTGCAGTGAATGCTAGAAACAGCTTAAAGAGTCAGAAATAGAGCCGTTTGTTATTCAAACTAAAGCAGCTTCGGTGGCGGTACTGCAATTGAGCTTTCGGAAAACAATTTTGAATCTTCATTTGCGGGTGCAGACAACGAGCAAGCAGTTGACAATTTTAATTTTCGCAACGACGATCTTTCGACCGACCTGCATGTTTACAGACAAACATGATTCCGGGCGAGGGATCACTACAAGGAAATTCACTCGAGGAATGAAGCAATTAAGAATTCCACAAAACGCGAAGAGGTCAACTACATGTCTTCATGGAGTACGCGCGTTTGGGATGACTAGTTAAAGAACGGAACACCTTACCCTGACAGCGACACTTTCGTGGAACCGTAGAATATTAAAGACGCTGTTCAATTTCGGACTGTTGTTCTGGCTGTGGAAATCGATGAACCAACAACTAAGAAAATTTGTGAATGTGGCGCAAAAGAAACGCTGCTCAGTTTAATTTTAGTAATTATAGCGTCGTGTTTAAAATTTCCGATAAACATTTGTGAATTTTTTCTTTGTGAACAGCTAATTTGAGAAGTGCGAGGGGATTATGTATTAATATGCAAGGGGGATAAGTGACTTATCCCCCTTGCATATTAATACGTAATCCCCTCACCTTTTAATTAGGTGTTCATAAGCCCTGCTCTTCCCTTCAAACAATCAAAGCCGCACCCAGCTTTTCAGACAGTTGATTCGGCGGTTATGTAATATATCCCCCCCGAAAAGAACAAAGGAATCCGGGCTTATGTAAAAATAAGTACACTACGTTTGGTCACTTAAAAAGTATACTTGAAGTATGCTTCCCAACAACTATACTGCATATGTACTTTACAAACAAGTATACTAGGAGTATACTAAGTCTTGAAATACACTTCAAGTATACTTCAGGCTGCTCAGCTTCAGTGGCATGAAAAGTTGGTTTTGCCAACTGAGAGGGTTTAGTGCTCAAACCTCTTTTTATAAACTGGCCAATTTACATTAGTTCATAATACCACATGTTTTGCTAAATACACAATTACTTTGACGCCCATAGTATATGTCAGATCTGTTTATTGCTCTTTAATTGGCTACAAAATAAATTAATTGCTCCATCTCTTTATTAAGGAAATATGTCAAACGTTTATTCACAAAAACTGGAACAAAATGCCTCAAAAGAAAAGACTTGAGTTTTTATATTTTTGAACTTACACAGCACTTTAAGCAAAGAAAACAAGCTCTTGTGCTATTTGCAAACAACTGCTTAAAAAAAGGAATCAATAACAAATAGAAACGGATATATTTTTCACCACGTAACTTACTTGTATCACCAAATTTCAGTGATGGACTACTCCTTCTTTTGTTTTCCTTTCTCCTGTACTCAAATTGTGAAGATAAAGGCGATATTTCAAGCGTGTAATAGTATGTGCAAGATGTATATAATGTCACAGTTCAAATGAAACTGAAATTATGTCAATTTCAGGTTATGCTTTTTTTTCTGAGAAGTACATGTACATACAATGCATATAAACTACTTCTGTAAGGGAAGTGATCACCTAGCCTGTGTTGTTTCAAAAACAAAAATTTGATGAATTTTGGAAAAACAAAAAAGGATGACCAAACTACTTTTTCTACTTTGTTGTTAAAACCTACCTTGTTTTATAATCAGTAGACCTTTTCAAACTACTAGTATCTGACTGCAATAATTTTTGTCATTTTTAAACTAGCTATCAAAGAAATGTTTCCTGCCTGTTAGATTGGTAAAGTTCTTGTGAAAGTATCGGACACAGGTGGCAGATTTCTCATACCTGGTAAGTGCTACAGTTAATTTCTATCTTTTAGAATGCTTTTTGGGAAAATCTGTAGAGAGTTAAAAAGAGATGTTATTAGGCTGATTTAGTTATCAGGAGAGAACTGTATGATGTTGATGGACCTGCTGTTATTGCATGAAGCTACAATTTGAAGCTTGGCGAATGTTGTACAATAATAATCAAATCACATATCATCCACACCATATGGTTTGGGTGGGTTATAGTAAGGTCATACATGTAAATGGACTCATCTGATAGCGGCTGCCAGTGGCATTCTTGTATGCTGGCATCCAAGCTTACTGTTGACATGTTAATATATATAATTGTAAAGGTTGAGTCTGTTGTCCTCCTCTCATCCATGACATAAAGTGGAAGCTCTCCTAATGGACAATCTCATGAGCGGAAAGCTCTACTTAAGGCCACCTTCACAAAACGCTGTTTTTCCCAACTCCCATACAAACGCGGTATTTTGACATTCCTGTAAGCTGCCAGCCCCAGTTACAAACACCTTTTTCGCGTCTTGAGCGTGTCCTCTTACAACAGCTTCCACTGTATTTCATATCATTTCAACTTAATCACTTAAATCACTTAATTATTTCAACTTAATTCACTTTCACTTTTATTTTGATCTGTAAATGATCAATCAAGGTGTGTTTGATAAGACATTTCTTACCTGTTACATTTTGTCCTTAACCAAACAGACAAGAAATGGCTCCTTCAGGAATGAAGCGGGAAAGCATTGGAAAGAGACAGCAGATATCTCATACATCAGGTTAGAACTAGACATTTTAAATATTTTTGATTAGTAATTTGTGTCTTTAAAATACTATTCTGGGTCAGTGGTTCAATCGGGTTGGCCTCATGCATTATCTGGGAAAATTGTATTTCTCCTATCCCATCCCTTACCATTCTAAGCTAAGCCCAATATGCACATGCAAAATCTCCATACTGATCACCATATATTTCTCATAAGAATTGATTAAGAGAGTTGATAAAAGGTCAAAGCTTTTCCTTTTTGGTGATCACATAATTAATTCTCATAACATTTTCTCTTTATTATTTATTATAATTGTTAAATAGCTGGAAATTTCTTCCAAACTGCTTGCACTCTCAGTGGTCACTTTGAGGGTCATATCACATCTAACAATGAGACTGTTTCCCTCCAAAATCTCTGAGTGGGTACTCTGCCAACTATGTGTCAGACAAGCCACGCGAACGAGTTTGTAAATGCTAAAAGCCATGCAAGAGAGAAACCCTTGCTCACAAGGAACTGAGTGGGCTGTTGCCCACGAATGTTGCAGCGAGGTTTAATGAATTTCCAGTCATAAAATTTCCAGCCGTGTAACAAATCACTCAAAGACTCAGGTCGCTCAGGACAATGTAGTTTCCTGAAAATCTCCATGTTTCCTGAGGTGATTGTTTCCCTCGGAACCAGTCATTGAGTGTTTAATAATTAATGATGGTCACCAAGGGTTTAACTGAAGAAATGTGGCGAATGTTTTATTCACAATTTGAGCTGTTTATCTATGCTATGAATTAGCCTTTGGGTATTTCTAAATATCTAATCATGGTGTATTTGATAGTCCTCATTGTGAAATAATAGTAAAAACATTGATTTACCTCAACAAATCTTTTCACTCCTGGGGGAGAAGGGGGGGGGTAGTACTTGGGTTAATTTTTGCTGGGTATGTACCGCTGGCCTCTCAGAGCACCTACCCCATCATAGTCTATTCTGTGGCCAATTATAGACCCTCATCTCACTTTTGGGCAAATATGTAATTTTTGCAATCCCAAATTAGTCACTTTCTACGTATGTATCTACCTTATATTGATGAAGAACACTTTACTTTTCACCCTCACCTACAGTACAAACATTCTGGTACAGCTGTACGTTTGGTAACCGTAAATATGAAGAACTGTCTTACCTCAAAAATCAGAACTGAATGTGCTACCCCTAAGTTAAACAAACCTGTACCTTGCTGTCATTAAGTAATGCTTTCCCTTTTCTTTTTACCAGACTGTGGAGGCAAGGAATCACGGAATCAGGGAATCATGGAATCAGGAACTCAAGGAATCAGGAAGTGAGGAATTCAGGGATTCATGGAATCATGGAATCAAGGATCAAGGACCAGGGATCAAGGGATTCAAGGAATGTCAAAGACGCATCTCAAGCATTCATTCAATAGGACCAAAGGTAGAAAAAATAGATTTAATTTTTCCAATCGATCGTGATAAGGGTAGGCAAGCGGCAAATTTGAGAAACAGCGCAACATGTTAAACGTCTGAAAACGTAATTTTATGAATCACTGAACTGGCCGGTTGTTGTTATTGTCAGTTATAACACAAAGTAAAATTTGAAATAACTAATTTAGGGCTCTGAAAAAATCAATTCTCTAAACAAAACTGACAAATTTGACTGACGAGGTACCAAGGTACCAACAGATATGATGGTGGCAAGCGAAGAAAAGACCACTTAAATTTACCCTCGTAACATCTAATAGCTGCACGACTAAATTGACGGACGACTTATAACATCGCGCCCTGACTTACCAAGTCGACAGCCAAACGACCTGACATTACTAGTACTGTTCATGTGACCTTCCCTCACAGAGTTCTCAAAATATCAATCATGCACTGCCACTAACAGTCATCGTTTAAGGCTACACTCACCAGAGGATCATTTTCAACCAACTTATGACTCCCAGGCTCAAACTTTTAATTATGTTACGTTCACTTGCACGGCTAAAGAAATGACTTGCTGAAGACAACCTTGTTCGAACGACTACTCTAGTTCAATTACTACTGCAAAGGTGTCTGTTTCATAGACACAACGGATGGAATTAGAGTTCAGTCACCGACAAAGACAGTTCGTCAAAACCACGCGACCTACAAACGATTGACTGGAGTGCACTGTATCGCCGGAATATCGCACATAACTCGGAAGACAACTTCAACGACAAATTGCACCAAGAGCATAGAAAAACTTGAATGGTTTCAACCGATTATTATTAGCAAACACACTAAGAATACAGTTTCGAAGAAGACAGTATTTTCAAACAGAGGAAGAAGAAGAAGAAAAAGACAGTATTTCAAACTCATTTGAAACTGCGATTAGAATATACACTTTAAACGTTAGACATCCCAAGGCAATCAAGAGTCAAGAGTGCTTCTCACTATCCTTGCTAAGCAAACGCCAAAACTTGAGTACCCCCTGCTGAGTTAAACACTCGGTTCCACAAACAAATACTCAACGAAGGCTATTGTCTCTAGCGTTAAGGACTTTAGGTATTCTCGTCAGAACTAACTATCCAAATCGACCAAGGACAACATCACGAGTGGGTATGTGGGCATGTTGTCCGTGGTTACAGTCCGCTTTTTCCTCTATATGGGACAGGAACCTGAAGACACAACAAACAACATAGTGACACCCCCTGCAAACATGGGACGGATGATTGCCGTAATATGGACAAGAAAGACTGCCATCAAGTGGATGCTCTTTTTAACATTAATGAAAGAACGAAAGCCAAGGCCCTCATTGCAACACAAATTTAGCACCAATCTACTTACTCTACATAGACTAACACAATCGGCATACTAAACTGTAGTGTGCCTCAGGTGCAACAGAATAGAAGCTACAGTACCCAAATACCTAGTACAACATAAAACAGCTTTCCATAGTCTTGTAGAGGCTATGGGTCTGGACCACGCCCCTGTCCGGGACTTACCAACTGTCTCACCGGACACAAATTAACTTCAGTCTACTGCAGAAGAGTAATGTAATTGACGCAATATGAACGAGCAATATACAGTGTACCTACCCTCTTTTTACGCTACATTGACGACAATTTCACCACATCTGTACACATAGACGCTTTCCACAACTTTCACAGACACCTTAAGAAACGTTTCACAGGACCAAACACATGCCGAAAGATGACTCTGCTGATCCTTCACAGTACAACAATACATTCCACTCAGTTCAGGACTACTTTGACGAGACGAGTGCAATTTGGTTGTGAAAAATCTGATACCTTAGTACGAAACGAAGTCAAACTTAGGCAAAGTATGCATCGAGAAAGTCGCGACACACATTATACCCTAACCTCGACTTGTCCCACCATAAAACAGTACGTGTTACAAAATGAGACTGTGTCACGAAAGGGAGCTGTGTCACGAGAGGAGGCTGCGTTGCGAAAGGGAGCTGTGTCACGAAATTTATCAAAATTCAAACAGTAAGAACCACCACCAAATTGAGTGACAATTAAAAAAAGCAGCTCCAAATATTAAAACAAGATGCAATTAACACAGTACAAATAAAAACTTAAAGGAGGCACGGATGGACAAACTTAAAGAAAATTGAGGTTTTTGAAAACTTCTTAGTGTAATAGTTTTTCAAAGTTCTTTATTTTTATCTGTAAACGCTTAATTTAATGCTTAAGGACAAATTTTATTTGGCGTGAAGCAGTGATTTTATCATTTGTAAGTCATTTCTTTGTTAACCTTAAGTTTTGTTTAGAAGAAAGGATGTGTGATTGGCAATTTTAACAAAATCAAATAACAGCCGTGACGTCCGGCAGGTCATTTAAGGTGATCTTACACGGGACGATTCGCAACGACGATTTTTAGCGCAACACAGCATTGCAACATTGTTCCAACAAGCTATGGGCTCTCCAGTTTCTGTTGTTGTAGCAGAAATTGTTATGTAAAACATCGAGGAATAAGCCCTGGCTACTTATACACGAATTATACCTCTTTGGTTACGTTACGTTGACCATACATTCACTGCTGTACACAACGATTTTTACGAACACCTCCCTATTAAGACGATACAGAAATGCAGTCCTTGATATGACTCAACTGTTTAACCTACATACGGAAACTATCTTATAAATCTACAACATACGTGTTACACCGGTACAAGCCAAGATATCTAACGAACGCAAGGGAGTAGGTGCAGTATAACGTCCTATTACAAAGACTTCAAACGAAAACCGAGGTTCACCATGCAACCGAATGTATAACAGTCAAATCACTGTACTTAGAACATATGACGGAAAATTAACTGAAGCAATCGACATTCAAGGGTACCGACGTTGTATGGTCTACTAATCACGTAACACATCTACGCAGCTCATGGGCTCATTTTTTGCGTGGGTTTTCGACTCAATATTCTCGCAATAATTGTGATGAAAGTACCGACATCTTCCACTTTGAGTTTAAACAAACTAGAGCGTGCTGAGAACTTCGTAGACGCTGTTACGACGACGCATTAGTAGAAACAAGCAAAGAAGCAGTCGCAATAACACTCCTGCTTGTTAGAAAAGAAAGAGAGGTAAGACACTCGAACGATGCAAGAATAGTCGACGCACGAAAGGGAATCGAAAGACTAACAAGAAAACATTACATCCGTGAGATGAAAGGAGTCCGGAAGCAGTTACAAGAAGCCAAAGCTGAGTTTCAGTCAGTATACAAGGAACTTAAGGAGCAACGTATTAACGATCAGATTGGGGAAGATGAGAGTACGTTCAAAGCAAGTGACCCCTGCAGCCAATCGTAAAGTAGCGGCATCTGAACTTGTCGGGAACCCCTGCTGAAGACACAACGATGAGTTCAACTTGGACTGCATAACCTTGGAATAATAGACTGAAATCACAATAGAGGCAGTGTTAAATGCTAAGAAGCAGATAAGTGAAGGTAAGCTCTTAAAGAGGATGACATAATGCCCAAGATCGACGACCTTCTACCACTTTTTTGCGGACGAACCGCTGTTAAATGAGGAGAAACCAGGCCAATTCACCATCCTCAACTTAAGGTGGCTCGATACAGTTTTTCATGGTCAATTCCTCCCAAGCTTGAGCATAAGCTACATCCCATTGACAAAGATTTGGAAAAATTGCCACCACAGATGCATTAGATAAAGATGAAAATTTGTTACGATCAGGGTTGCAATGACATCGGAGTTGTCATAGCAACGAAATGACGCCATTATCTATTTTACTTGCAGCAGTATTTCTCCGCACTGCGAACTGTTCTTGCAAAATCGTTCACGTGAGCGTTTTCCTCCAACAGCCGAACCGATGTTCGTGAAGTTTAAGCGGAATCTGTGAGAGCGTTATCGAGATATTTTGGGATGAAGTTTTTATGGTTAGAAATACAGAAAAAATGGACAATCTTGATGTGTGGGCGTTATCTGTAGAAAACGAAGCGCTTTTGACATGCAATTTCACCTCGTAGTAGTTTCAATCTTTTTAAAAACGTGTGTGAAAGATCACGGAGATAGCTCCTGTCGATAAAAGAAGGGTTTGATTAGTATGTATCGAGGTGCTCTTGTTAGTGGTTTTGTAAACATTTTGGTCTACTTTAACAAATTAGCGAATAATTTTTGGACCGCTCGATAGATTTTTTAAAACAATTTGAGATTCTCGAGATTATAAGCGTCGTTTTAGGAGACCTTTGAGACTCAAGGTTATTGATATATTGTAAGGCAGTAAAATAAGGGCAACTCCGATGTCATTGCAACCCTGATCATAACAAATTTTCATCTTTATCTAATACAACTGTGGTGCCAAATCTTTGTTAATCAATGGTGACGTAGTTAATGCCCAAACTTGGAAGGTATTGACCCTGAAAAACTGTATCGAGCCACTTTAAAACCAAATATTTTCCGGAGTCATGTAGGGTGACGCTTTTGCACCATATCTATTGGCCTTGTGCTCGATTAAGCAATGAGCTAAGCCACACAAGGAAAAGAGGAGGTGCCTACCTGGTTTTGGTTGTTTTTTTTTTTTTACCTTGAGGAGAGAGAAAGTCTTAGGATTCCAGAAATCTGTTTAACTGACCTTGATTTTGCTGATGACATTGTTCCGTCTGACGAGATTAGGCAAGACATGCAGCTTTTGCGCAATATGGAGATAGATTGTGGTAAGGTTGAGCTGTTACTGAATGCAAAAAAGACTAAAGCTGAGTATTTCAACATTGAAAAAGAGGAAGTGAAGACAGTTGATGATACGAAAATCAAGCAAGTCGTTGTGGAAGAGACAGGGGAACAAGATTCAAATACCTGGGAAACTGGATATGTTCTAAGGAAAGAGACTTAAATGTTCGCAAAGCCCTGGCCTAGCAATCACTGAACAAAAAGAAGAACTTGTGGGAGAGTGACTAGTGACTTGGCAGAAAGATCAAGCTTAAGTTATTCAGAGCTACTATGGAAACAATTATCCTTAGCGAGAGTACCACTTGGTCCTTGAAAAAAAAAAAGAGAAGAAAAGAGCCTAGATAGAACTAACACAAGAATGCTGTGAATAATCATGAAAAACAAATCGTGGAAGAACAAGCTTACAAGTAGCAAGCTTTTGGTAGTTTAAAAAAGGTGGCCTGAACCATTCAAAATAGAAGAATTGCTCCTGTCAGGACATGTTTTTCGTGGTGAGAGCTCTCCAGCGCAATAGCTCAGTGATAACTTGGGTGCCTCCTGAGGGGAGGGGGTTGGTAGAAAGAGGATGTCCTTTAACTACATAATGATATTAACAAACTACTGAGGGATACTAGTCTGGAGGTTGTTAGAGATCTTGAAAGTTGTATGAAAGATCAAGCCTTATGGAGTCAGCTTTCTTCCCGTCGTCATCTAGACGTCGACCGGAAGTGGAGGCAGTAGTTACGACGATACTAATACCTTACAACTACAGACCGATGTTGAGGTGATGTCACTCTTCATCCACATTCCAACTGGGGATAGACTGTGCTAGGAAGGCCATCTAAAATAGCTCATTATCAAGTGATTAGAAATTACATTACAGACCTATTCTACCTTTATCTCATTTGCTGCGTACGTTCAGTACAACCGCAAACACTTCAAAACGTAGATTGGTACATGCAGCCCTGCCTCGACCTATTGGTATCAGGTGTTGATTGTTAAGCAACACGCTGACGAACACTCTGACGAACACTCGTTCAACTAGCTAAGAAGTTTACACTTCCTCTCTAGCTATGCTACGGACTGGAACCATTTATTATTCAAAGAACTGTCGAGCTTATTTACCAGTAACGCCTACCCTTCGAAGCCGAAGATTGATGCGTGGGAGATTGATGGCTTACTCTGCCAAACGCAAGTTATTGTCGCCAG